ACTTCCCTAGAACAACTGAGGGCATTTCCTCTCGTCCTATCACTTGCTACGGAGAAGAGACCAACACCCACCTCGCTACAACCTCCTTTCAGGTAGTTGTAGAGTGGTAAGGGGCTTTCCCCTCAGCCTCCTTTTCTCCAGACTAAACAACCCCAGTTCCTTCAGCTGCTCCTCATCAGACTTGTACTCCAGACCCTTAATAAGCTTCGTTGCTATTCTTTGGACATGCTCCAGCACCTCAAAGTCTTTCTTGTAACGAGGGGCCCAAAACTGAACACGGTATTTGAGGTACGGCCTCACCAGTGCCGAGTAGAGGGGCACCATCACTTCCCTACTCCTGCTGGCCACACTATTTCTGATACAAGCCAAGATGCTGTTGGCTTTCTTGGCCACCTGGGCACACTGCTGGCTCATGTTCAGCCAGCTGTCAAACAACCACCCCAGGTCCCTTTCTCCCAGGCAGCTCTCCAGCCACTCTTCTGCAAGCCTGTAGTGTTGCATGGGATTGTTACGACCGAAGTGCCGGACCCAGCACTGAACCTTGTTGAATCTCAAACAATAGGCCGTGGCCCATTGATCCAGCCTGTCCAGATCCCTCTGCAGAGCCTTGCTACCCTCAAGCAGATCAACACTCCCACCCAATTTGGTGTCATCTGCAAACTTTCTCGATCCCCTTATCCAGATCACTGATAAAGTTATTAAACAGAACTGGCCTTCCTGGCCCTGGGTGGTGCAGGAAGGAGACAGCTTGACAGTGAGTCAAGCTGATGTTGACACCATTCACTGCAAGAATATGGTCCCCGGGTGCTATTTGTGCATCTGCAACAACAAAAGAATCCCACAAGACTTCCTGAAAAACAATGTTTCCTAGTGGGATGTCTTTACCACCAGCTATCCTAATCCTCACATCTTCCTCGCAGTCTTCTCGATGAATTTCAATTATGTTCATTTCAGCCGTAAGACTAACTCTCAGCAGAGGGTCTTCTTCAGCCTCCTCAAAAGATGGATTAACCAGTCCAGGCTCTGCAGCTGCTAGTGATGCCAGAGCAGCTGCAGAGCTTTGTGCCACAAGTGGCAATCCTCCACTTGGTACCTGTGGATCCTTGGGTGGATCCAAAAGGCTCCTGGCCTTTGGAAATGGGATTCTTTTTTCACTGTAGTTCAGATTTGTATTTCGTGAAACCAGGACACCTGTTCTGCAGATGAGCTTTTAGTTCACACTGCTGCATTGTCTGATGACACTCTGCCTTAAAAGGACAGAAGACAATCAGCTTATCCAGCAGGTTTCATACTAGAAGGCTGGACTTGTGGCAGTGTTGGAAAGAGAGTTATACTCCTGCATGAAGTTTTCGAGGCATTTGAAACAGTACATACGTCCACAGGGGGTGTCCATAGCTTGGAGCAGAGCCTAAAGGCAGATAGGGCAGATGAGTTCATCATCCACTTGATCCTGGAAGTTGTAGAGATGATTGTCCAGCAAGAGGTGGAACTGACCACATTCACAGAAAAATTCACTAACTTGGGTTGCATGTTCTTCTGCTACGGCATCAGCCATGATAGCCAGCATCAGGCACTCCGGGCCCAGCAGCAAGGAAACTTGTTATATAGTAGCTGTCTGACAGAGGTCTTCTGTAGGGGCTGGGGGTGGGAAGGTGACTCGCTTGTCCCGAGGAAGGGGAGGGTGGAGATGAGGGGAGCCCAGCGCCAACCTGGCCTGTGAAGGTGGCAATATGCGGCTGTTCCACCAAGATTCCGGGCAGGGAAGGAAGTTGAAACCTTCGCAAGAGGAGGAGGCAGCACAACCACCCAAGTGTCTCGCAACTGCCCGGGTGTTTCTGTCCCAGCTGCCTGGCAGAGCATGGCTCAGCCTTGTGTTCTCGGACTGTCTACCCTGGAGTGAGCTAGTCAGACACTGGTGAAAAGGCATCAGCTGTTCCGGGCTGAAAGACACTGCAGTACCATAACCCACTCCAGCATGATGGCAGAAACTACAGCATGCAGGGAAGGGTGGGTGGTTTATGTCAGTCTAGGAGGGGACCAGTAGGGCTCAGCTCCCACTGCCTGCTGAGCAGGGCCACATACAGCTACTGGATGTCTCTGTGCCCTGGATTCCCTGCTGATAGCAGGGAAAACTTTTTTAAGGAAACAAGCCTTGCAAAGTAATTCCAAAAAATGGCAGATTTTTCTTTTTTTCTTTTCTTAGATTTCCTTTTTTTGAGATACTGTAGAAACTTAAAAACATGACTGAATTTGTGCATGCCTTTATTTATTGAGCTATTTATGATGGGCACAAATTTCCCTAAGCCAAAAAGCCCCCTCCCTCCTCCTTCCCCAGCCTTAGTAATCAGCTTCCCTGTGCTCCAGCCCACGCTAGGCTATTTTCTTCTGTCAAATCCTCCATCATTGGTTAAATTACCTAGGTGTGTGTTGGCTTTATCTTTTTTTGGTGAAATCTTGTAATCTTTCAAGTCTACTTTGCCCAAGTCCCTGTCATCCTCTTAGGTCTCTTGTAGAGCCTGCTTCTCTCCTGGCTGATTCTGTAAAAGGTCTAATTTCAAAAAACTGCTGCTCTCAGGGCTGAAGTCTGTACTGTGGTGCCCATGACAATCATCTGTGTCCATCAAGGCTTCCAATGCTTCGAAGCTATAGTGAATTGCAGATGTTTGGACTTCTTTGCACCTGGATGTTAAATTTCCCCTTCCACCATCCCTTTCTCAGATGCTCCCCTTCCCCATTTTGCTGCCTGTGTTTGCTGCAGCCTACATTGTCTGCACGCCTTTTATGCCACTGCACTGTTAATGAGCATATTTGGCATGGGCCCTGGTTTCCCACCAGGGTGCCCCCTCCCACGCACACAGTAGCCGTTGCCTTCTGACATGTGAAGACATGCTTCACTCAGAGTCTGTCACGTGAGCCAGTTTTAATCTAGGATGCTCTTTCCTTTTGGCTTCCCACAGAGATCACAGGACCCTGTTTAATCCAGCTCCCTGTTGGTATACGGTTGAGTCACAGAGGTTTTTCTGTTGCTACATCTAATAGCACTTTGCTATCAGGAGCAGAACATCAATCCGCTTGGCTGGGAGTTGGCACTGTCACCCAGCAGCTCTCCTTGTCTGGAAGTTGTTTTGATTCTTTTCTTAGACTTCTCCCTCTCTGTGTCTTTCTCTCTAAAACATTAATTTCCTCTAATTAGAGCCTCCTTAACAATTCTTTTTTCCCCTCTCCTCAGTTAATTTCCTCTAATTAAAACCTCCTTAATAATTCTTTTGCTAAATCAATTTCCTCAGAACCACCCGCCACAATGTCTTTCCATCCTTTCAAAAGCTGTTGGGAGTAGCTGAGCAAATTATGCTTCTGAGTAACCTTTATCTCTTACTTGGTATTTTAAAAGAAGAACTGTAACAGGTTAGACAAGCACAATTTCCCCTTCCAGAGCTATGCTGGTCTGACCCCATTAGGTTATACTTAGCTGAGTTGCTGTACTATTGTATACTTAATTAGGTGTGCTAGCTGTTCCTCTGCAACCAAGGTAAGGCTCTATTTATGAATGAATTAGACATGACACTTCATTATTCAGATCAGATTTAACAGTGTCAAAATCCATCTTTAAACCAAATCAAATTGCTCTTTAAGAATATGTAAAACCTCCTGCCCCTGTTAGCTGTCCTGTAGCTGTTCCTAACTTTTTCTCTGCAGCCATGCCATCTTTTTTCTTGTGACAAGCCTTTTAAGTACTAATTGTTTTGAAAACTTGCTGGTTTTAAAAAGATTAACTATTAATGGCACATTGCTTTTCATAATCATGCTGTGGGCCACATCAGCAGTTGGTATAAATGAGAAGGCAGCTGATTTACACATATGGACCTTGGGCCTGAATTTCCTCTTTACATTACATTATGCAATTTCTTCCCAGCTGAGACTGTATTATGCATTTCGCTAGCCCTTTAAGATGGACCATAAAGAAACATCTCACTATGTCTAACCTTCCTGAAATCTACCAAGGACGACTCGCTCTGCTTCCTGATTTTGGGAAGGGCCAAGTATTCGTTGCAACTGGGAGGACCATACAGTTTTAGTGGTCTGGTTTTCTGTATAATTATTAAAAAAAAGAAGTAAGGAAACACATGTGAGCTGCAGGAATGTTCTCTCCCCACCACTGGTAGGTGCAGCACTGGTAGCTGGATCATGTTCCCTTTTCTAGTACCCCTTTCTCAGGTTAGCACCTTCCAAGCACTTTCAACAAGTGGTGGTGTGAAGGAGAGCACTTCCCTGCTATGATGCATGGTACAATAGGGCCCAGCTCACATGTGACAGGCCAAAGAAAGCTACCTCACAATGGGCTCATGAGACTGCTTCTGGTCTTTGCAGCATAAGGACTTTCTCCTTCTTTTGGCTATGCCCAATGTAAGCTGCATAGCCTACTCAAAGTGCTGATCACAAAGCAGAATGTCACTGTGGGTGCTGAAGAGTCTGCTCCAGTAAGGCAGGTGGGCCCTTCAGACTTGTGAAGTGCTTTTTACCACCATCTGATGAGAAACAGCAACAACTCATTGTTGAGGTGGATGCCTTGGGTGTCACAACTGGAGCGATCCATGAGGAAAGCTCCACAGATTCTACAGGGAGCTGGTGGACGCTTGCAGCTACTCCATCCTTGTCAGTGCCACTGTCAGCTTTCTGGGCAGGTTCAAAATATTTTAGCCAAGCCCAGCTACTGTGGGAAAGCTGTACTGCTGCCCTCCTTCACATTTCTTTCCTTGTGACCTTTCCAAGCCTTTAGCACTCCAAAAAGTCTATTCTGGTGGAAGTGGTGCAGAAGTTGTAAGATCTACTTTATTTCCTCTGCAGCCTTAATAACTATTCAGAAAAGTCCAATTGCATCACTTCCTGTGGAGTTTTGGAGTAGGATTGGATGGAAAAATGAAACGCATTAACATTTTTGTTTTTGACAAAATCCCTAATGTTTGAGATGGGAATAGGACATTTCTGGGCAATCTTAAAAGGAGTAAAGTGCTGGTGGTGGTGGAGAGGGAGTTGTTTGGGAAGGGTAGATTCTCTAAAAAGATATGTTAGAAGGCTAAAAAAAAGCTGTCTGGTTCTTCTTAGAAGAGATGAGAGAGCAGGAAGAGGGAATCACCAAGTTGGATTGTTCAGACCAACAGTCGACTAGAACAGAAAAAGATGCTGTTCTCTATGCTCCTTGAGAAGCCCATCTTGCTGGTCTCCAGTCCATTCCAGCTGAGGACAAAGAACAGCTAGAGATAGAGATAGGCAATCCAGTAGACAATGTTGAAGAGCAGGAAGGCGGTGGGGAAGAAGACACGAGAGTAGGAGTCCAGGCGGGAGATGTGAATGCGGACCCTCCCCTCCCGCCACATTCCTGTCTGACAGTCCTCAATGCAGCAGAAGAATCTCTCACATTCCTTTCCTTCCAGGCATGGGGAGCCAGGATCTTCATCCTCATCCTCTTCCATCTCTGGGGGCCAGTGCATGATATTGTTGATGTTGATAGTGGTAAAGGATGGCATCACCTGTGCACCAGCTGGTGGCTGTAATGAGGAGGGGTAGGTGGGTTAAAGTGAAGGAAAAGGCAGGAAAACATGTTCCAGACACCAAAGCTCATCCAATTAGCAATAGATCAGTTCATAGCATAGGTGCAGTTCAATGCAGAAGGATGACTGTTCATCCCCCATCTCTGCACCTGGCTGTAAATCACCACCTTGGCATACTGTGGGGACTGGCATCGCCCTGCATGACGTGTGAATTTCCTCCCTGGCACTCTAGGGCATAGCCTTAGTCAGCAAATATCTAATTATTCTGATTCCCCATCTCTGCCACTAATAGTTGGTGCAGAAACAGGACCTGTTTAGCTTCAGCTGTGATTGATAGCCTCTTCCGTTGCTCCCCTGAACTCAGATGTCTCTGAAGACACAGCACACAGTCCAGATGTGTCTTCTGGTTACTGTCAGTTGCTGGAGAAAAGCTGTGGAAAAGCTGTGTGTGACTCATAACCTCTTGGCCCAGGAGAAAAGCCATATCAGCAGCCTCATGGAAGAGCTCTCTCCACCTGTGCTGGGAAATGAGGCTGGCACAGGAGAGATCTGTCTTTTGGTTTTAGTTCTGTCTCAGTTCAGAGGCCTGTTTCAGCTGATGTTTCAGAAGTACCTGCAATGACCTTGGGCAGATCACAAGAGGATGATGACCACTCTGGGTTCACTATCCCCACACTGTGGAGGTCTTCTGATGGACAGACCAAAAAAGGAAGTAGGTTTCTGCATCTCTGTGACCTAAGATACCTCTGTGATCCACAGAGATCAAACAGGTACAGGTGGAAGAACCTGGGTGTGGATCACCCAGTCTTAAAGTGGACATTTACATTTGGTCATGTGAGTCACCCTAAACTGTACTGATGAGCTCTCCAGCAATTCTGAAGAGAGCATAGGGTGCCTGCCTCTGACAGGGACCTCCTTGTTTTAGGGGAGCCTCAGCTGCTTTTTTTGGTTGTGTCTCACCTTTCAGGTACTCAGACCCAGCACACAGAGTGGTCTGAGGACCTTATGAACACAGTATGGGTCAGGCACTAAACCATGTCAACAGTTTCCAATGCAGGCTCAGGGGGGATATTTCTAAATAGCTTGGAGTTCTAAGAGCATCCACCTCTGCTGCCCCTTTGACCTACCAGCCTGGCTTTCCTGTTGTTGTGCTCAAGTGGTTTCTTGTTTCCCACCAGGTAGTTGAGTGTAGCGTACTCCATAAGAGCTGCAAAGACGAAGATGAAGCACACAGAGACAAAGAGATCCATGGCTGTGATGTAGGAAACACGGGGAAGGTGCTTGCGGGAGATGGTACTCAAGGTGGTCATTGTTAGCACAGTTGTGATTCCTAAGAGACAAAAGAGCTGGTTTAAGTAATGAAGAGGAGCACTTCTGTCTTCTACATGCATCCACCCCCAACGCATCCCCATTTCCCCTCTCATGTGGGAGGGAAATTCCTTTGGTTTTCTGGTCCCATTTTTGCTCTGCTCAGCGAGACTCTGATCTTGAGGTGCCCTCTGATAATGCTCTGTGGAAAAAGACACCCAGGTGTCATACAGGCCATCATTGTGGACTGGTAAAGGATTTGGGAACTCGAACTCTACTTAAGGCTGTGCACAGGAACAGCTTGGATGATGGGAGGAGAGTCCAAAGGAAGGACGTGCTAAGAGGCAATGGCACTGGATGGATGGCTTTGGGCAGGCAATGCATGAGTTGGGATTCAGTCACTGATGTCTGTCTGAGTCAGCAATAAGAATGGCAATGTCTCAGATGACACAGGACTGCTATTTCTGTCTGATGTGAGTGAGAGCTGGCATGCAAAGGTCTGTGTTCTTGTTCTCCCTTTGTCTTTGAGCATTTGCTCCCTGGATAAATTCAGCCCAATGCAAAGCTCATAGAATCATAGAATAGTTTGCATTGGAAGGGACTTTTAAAGGTCATCTAGTCCAACTCCCCTGCAAGAGCAGGGACATCTTCAACTACATCAGGTTACTCAGAGCCCCATCCAACCTGACCTTGAATGTTGCCAGGAATGGGTCATCTACCACCTCTCTGGGCAACCTGTGCCAGTGTTTCACCACCCCCATCACAAAAAAAATTCTTCCTTTCTAGTCTGCATCTGCCCTCTTTTAGTTTAA